TCATCTAATTCTATGCTCATCAAGCAAGTAATTTGGTGTTCTTGGCACTCTTCTCTACAGGGAGGGAATGTTTCAATGAATCTGCCTGAGTATTACATTATGTTTGGCAGTCAAGACTTTTACTGTGAATCAATACTATATCAACATGTGATGTATCCATTAGTCTTTTATATATTTCATTATTTCGTTTACCTGAGCTTGACCAACTGTGGTTAAAACTTATTTTTTAATTTAGTTTTTATATTTTGATACCAGAGATTAAACCCAGAGACACTCAACCACTGAATCACATTCCTAACCACCACCACCACCCCCTTTTTTTTGAGACAAGGCTTAGGGGCTTGCTAAATTGCTGAGACTAACTTTGAACTTGCACTCCTCCTGCCTCGGCCTCCCCAGTTGCTGGGATTACAGTCATGCACTACCACGGTTAAACTTATTTTTAACCTGGAAAGCTAAGAACCAAATCCTGTAGGAAAATGACTCTGTGGCATTACCATCACCAGGTGGGTTAGCTTTCCATTAATGGAAATACCTGAATTGGAGATGGTGGTACAGGCCTGTAATCCCTGTTGCTTTTGGGCAGCACATCAGGCAGGGAGCCTGTGGTAGAGCAACTGCTCCTCTCGTGACCAGGAAGACAAGAGAGAGGCGGGTCAGGGGGTAGGATCCTAGTATTCTCCTTCAAGGGTGTAATAACCCTAATGATCAGAAAGATTTTCCTTTGGTTCCCCACCTCTTCTACCACCTCCTATTAACACCATGCTGGGGACTAAACCTTTAACACATGAGCCTTTGGGGCACATTGCCATTCCAAACTATAGTACCAGGTGAGACATGAGTTGAGTAATAAGCTGACCTCTTTGTCAACTTAAAATTTAAATGGCAATTTGAGCATGTGACTTTTGAGCTATACCATCATAAGACATTTGAAAGCTAAGTACATTCTCTTTACCTTCACATCCTCGAAAGGGCCCCACATAATGTCTGAAATGTTATAGGCATTGAATATTAGAAGAGAGGATAGCTGTATATTTTCCAGTCTCTGTGGAAAAGGATTAAATTCATCATCTGAGTAGAGACTACATTTCAGACATTCTTTATTGAAAGTGAAGTAATTAGGTAATTAGGACAAAATTTAATATTGTAAGAGAAATGTTGATGTCCAGAAATATAAAGAGAAATGGATGTAAAATATAAACATGATATTAACTTGTTATATTTTTACACCTGTCTTTTTTTTTTTTTTTTTCTGGTTAAATGTTTCCTAAATGGGCTGGGGATGTGGCTCAAGCGGTAGCACGCTTTGCCTGGCATGTGTGCGGCCTGGGGTTCGATCCTCAGCACTACATACAAACAAAGATGTTGTGTCTGCCGAAAACTAAGAAATAAATTCTCTCTCTCTCTCTCTCTCTCTCTCTCTCTCTCTCTCTCTCTCTCTCTCTTTAAAAAAAAATGTTTCCTAAATGTATATGTTAAAGGTTGTAACTACCATTTTTTTCTTCTTTCAACATATTTTAAAAACTTAAATAGTACTTGATAAAGATTTCATGTTCATTTTGAAGAGATTTAATTTCACTTATAGTTAAACCAAAGATCTCTAAGTCCAACTTCTAATTATTGCCATGTAGTTAAGGAACACATTTGTGAAATTAGGTTTCCCAATTTTCTTTGGTTTGTGTTTTGCACCACTGGGGATTGAACCCAGGGCCTTGTACATACTAGGCAAGCACTTTACCAATGAGCTACATTCCCAGCCCCCAATTTTCTATTACAAAGAAAATCAATACATATTGTTAAATACATTGGCTTGCCATTTTACATTCTTTTTGTTTAATAAAGTACATGGGATATCCAAAATTACAGATGCCTTTTTTCCTTTGATGAATCTCAGCCAAATATTATAGAACATCTGGAATCTTTCACTGGAAAAAATAAACAACAAAGGCATTTCTCAAGCCTGATGTGTGTGGAAGTTTGATGAAGGTTTAGTGAGGGTGGGTTTTTACTAGAAGGCTGGCTGGTGAGTTGCCAAGAATTCCTGGGCAGTAGTTTTGGCATTAATTTCTCACTCTTATAAATCCAGTTTCCTGATCTTGTTAACTTTCCATAGTTGATCAGACTTAGTGGCTATTTCCCCTTCTTTCCTTTTGCTTTACTATTGAACCTTCTATAATGGGATAAGCCAATTCATTGACCTTGTACTTCATGCAGGTCACCAGTGATCTTGTATGCCCAGTAGATACCCTTATCTCTAATGACTTCGTGGCTACATTTACTTGAGGTGTAAGAAACTCTGTTTTGTGCCTACCAGTCCAATTTCCTTTTTCTCCAGGGTACATAGCAAACTGTATTTTCTAGCCTTCCTCTGAAGGTAAGTGGGTCCACATGACTAGAGTGTTAACTAGGGAAAAATGATAAGTGTTATGGCAACACATGATGGAATAACTACTTCCTCCTCTTCCAACTTACTGCAGTTGTGTATGACAAGACTAGGCAATGAAACTATGTTAAACTATTGAGAGTTGGGGTTCTTTGTTATAGTAGAAAGCTGTTATGTATACTTACTTGGCTTCTGTGATGCTCCTCTCTTTCCTGAATCTGTGTGTTATCCATTTGTCTGTTTATTTATTTTCTTGAACTTCTCTACTCTTCCTTAAATATTTTAATGTTAAGTTTTCATGTCCCACTATTTTCTTCCTCTACATGTTGTTTGATGAACAATCTCCTATACTCTGTTTTCATCTACTAATATATTAATTAGCAGAATAGTAAATATGTTCCTAAATATTATATAAAAGTTTTATTAAATATGTGTATATGAAATTTATTTTGATTTGTGTTTTGTGAGTTTGTTTCAACTATGATTTTAAAGTCCTTATTACTTATTTTCTCATTTTTGCCATTCCCTTTGATTGTATCTTTTTAAATGGTTATTTCTTTGAACAATGAAAACTCCTCATTTATCCAACAATATTAATTGAACATCTGCCAGAACTGTCTTTTCTTTTTTTCTATTGGTGCATAGTATGTGCCTTACATAACTCTATGTAAGTAATCAGTGAATGTTGGGTGAATTGAATAGAACTATTTAGTGTATAACTGCCACGAGTAAGGCTCTTTGCTGGAGTCAGTGCAGAACAAAAACAAATATAAAACTTAATTTCTGTTTACTTCATTTTTTTTTCCCACTCTAAACATCCTCCCTATCCCCACCTCAATTAGCAAACATACTGAAGTAATTGCAACTCCACAAAAGACTCACCTTCTGATTTTGGTATTCAGAGGTGACTTCCAGAACTAGAATGGTGTTAGGCAAAACTCAAAACTTAATTTGACTAATTATTAGGATAATATATTAATGTTTACCTTTTTTTTTGGCCTGGAATTCAGAAGCATTTAATATAGTTTTTTTTAGAACTGACTTGAATTTTCTGAGATCATAGCTTACTTTATGTATTTTATTGGGAAATTTCATTCATTTAAATAATTAATTAAATAAATAATTAATAAAATAAATAATTAATGGATTCACAAACTTTGCTAATATTGTCAGATTTTAATATATTAATAATAGCCAGGTCTTGCTTTTCCTTTTCTTTTTAAAAAAGACTCATCAGAGCATCATTTTAGTCACAGTAAGTAGATGTCATTGCAAATTTTCTCCCAGGGTCTAGCAGTTTTTCATATTTTATTTTCATTCTCAAATATAATTTCCTTTTAATGTTTTAAAATATTTTGGTATATCACTACGACTTTGGTAGTGATATAACATGAAAATTCTTATAGTGTGTAACATTTTTATTTGTTATAAGTCCAATAGTAAACTAGAATATCCAGTTTTAATGGATTCTGCAAATGAAATTATCCAAAGGGTATCCCCTAATCAATTGTTTGCACCTTAGTGTAAATGAAGAAGGAAAACTTGCATTTTGGAAAAGCCCAGAGAGCTGGGAGTCTTTAAGAAAATTACCTAACCTCTTTTTGCCTTATTAGGTTGTAATAAAATTGAACAAGTAAGAAAAATGCCTAGTACAGCGTGAGCTATTATTTTTAACTAATGAAGAAATTAATGTTGTCAATATCTTTGTTTGAAATCTGTTTGTTTAATTTCCAATCCATAGGAAAGAGTTTTTCATTCTTGTTAAGTAAATGCAATTATTGCATATTTCTCTGAATGTCAATAACATCTTGAGGGTTTAGAAGAGCATAGTTTACCATAACTGCTGAACTAAATTTAAAAATATTTATTTATTTTTTTATTTGATGAGGAAGCAGGTTCAGAGAAGTCAAAGAATTTAAGGCAGGACAAGCAGATTTCTTAGGCGCTTTTGCTTCATGTTAAAAGTTTGCAACTCCTTGCTTGCTCATGTCAAAACCAAAATCCCCCATCAGCGTTTCAGAATCTGAGGCTAATGTTTGCTATAAAAGAAGATTTATAGAACTCTCTGGGGATCTACTGATTCTTCCAGAGGGTTAACTAGCACCTAGATGCTTTTTATGTAACTTTAGTTTGGAGAACCATGACACAGTAATGTAGAAAGCATCCTCAAAGAGGCAAGCTGAACCAAACCCAGGACATCTTTTAGGGTAGGCTGTCCTGGTGATTGACATGCCACACTTGATGCTTTGCATAGCCATCATGCATTAATCAATTGGACCCCTGAAGATCTTAAAACCTTCCTCTGCCATTACTCCACAGTTATGACTGCCAAATAGTGCGTTCTTTAGTTGTTTTCCTCAACAACAGTAAAATAAAGGGGATTCTGGCTCATTAGTGGTTGTGGAAACCAAACATGGGCCTGTTCCACCTTAAAGGGCCTAGGAATGCCTAGTGTTTGGGTCTTGCAGAGTTTGGGCACCACCATATTTGGAGCGTGCCTACTTTGGGGCGGGAACCTCCTTGGGAGTGATTAGGTCAGCGCTGGGGGAGGTGACCTTGTTTGGTTTCTGGCACCCGAGAACAGTGGTGCACTGTTTCTGCTGCCCCCATTTGTCTAATTGGCCCAGACACTCCACCAGCCGAAGCTGCCCAGGAGCTCCTCGCTGGCCACCCCCGCGGCCCGCGGCGGGCAGAGGCGGGAAAGCCGCGCGCCTGCGCCGTGGGAACCGGGGCCGGAGGCGAAAAGCGGGGAGCGGAGGGGGGCCGTTGGAGCCGAGTAGCGTACTGAGCGGCGTGTGACGCGGGGACGCCGCGCGCTCCCAACGTCGCCCCGGTTTGACGCACACGGCACCAAACTGTGAGTTTCGGGGGTTATTTGGTCGGATTAGCTAGGACCCGAGTGGGTTTCGGGCCTCAGGGCTGTGGCGGCGGCGGGACTGAGGGTGGCAGAAGAAGTTGGGGGACCCGGCCTCCGGCGCTCGGGCCCGGGGAGCTACGCCCTAGGCTGGGTCCCAACCATCCAAAAGGACGCATTTTGCCGCACAGGCTAAGATGGCGGCGGCGGCCGAGGAGGCGGAGTTGGTGCTACACAAG